TTAACATTTTTAGGTACCTACGTGTCGAGTTACAAAAGTAATTTACAAAATAATAGATGATCTAAAAATGAAGGTCCCTTAATAAAATTTACTTATTTACTTATATGTATATTACCTCATCAAAAACGAACTTGTACTCGGATATACTTACCTAAACAGAATGATATGAGAGAACATTCGTAATACATGTATTGTCTTCTTTATTATAATTATTTATAATAATAATAAATAAATAGACACGAAGTTTTATTTATTATTATTACGTCTTATTCTAATGTATAACTACAGCTAATGCGATTAGTCTATGATGTCCATTCAGGGTAAATTGTTTTATATTACATTGAAAGGTAGTATTTCCACTATAAATTATTACTTTAAAATAACAGATTTTAAAAATAACATACAATAATAATAGCATTTTGTGAATAAGTTGCGTGTCACCTAGCGTTTTATGAACCTGTAGGCCTAAGATGCGCGCCACGATAAGCGGTTATAACGCCATTTTATCGATTTTGCCCATACATTTTGACGTCGATAAAAGTTATCACGGCGCGCAATCTTAGGCCTACTGAAGAGAGATTTTATAAAAACACTACTCCAAAGTTGAATACCTTGTAATTTTCTAGCGTTTATCTCAGTCACTGCCTGAAGAGTGGGAGCGGCACGGGAAGAGATTACATTGACATATACTCAACATCAAATAAATCGCACCTTCCGCGACGCGAACTTTAAAGATTTTCTTCTGACACAATCATGGTGCCCCAACAATATTGGTGTTATTTGAAAGCCCAATAAATATGCTTAAAGAAAAACACATTCAATTTCTTAATAAATGATTAACATATACCATAAATGTGACTTGAAAAAAGACCTCACTTTGGGCTCACCTCTGGGATCAATTAGACTAATTTTTATGGTTATAAAACCAAATAATGATCTCACGTGTCCTCTTTAACCAATGGATAGCGATTAATCCCAACTTAACAGTTTTATAGCCATAAAAGTTGGCTCAAGCGTAACTACCTATTTTTTTAAGAAGTGACTCTGGATCCTTCTAAAGACATATTTTTGGGGTAAAAACCTTTCCTATAATGAAATCAAGCTTAGAACTAGGCTTTTAAGTAGTGCCAATATTAGTGGGAAGTGGGGATGCATACGTTTAAAAGTGCTTGTCGCGCAAAGTGCGATTTATTTGACGACGAGTGTATTAAATATTATGACGTGACAGAGTATACAAATCTAAGAGTAGGCGCACACCGTTGATTTTTAGTAGGCCGATAGTTGTGCCCGATTTTAAATTGTATGAAGAATCGGCCAAATCGAATCGGCGTAGTGTGCGCACTCCCATACATACCCATACTGATCAACTGCCCGACTAAACTATCGGCCGACGAAAAATCAACGGTGTGCGCCTACTCTAAAGCACATGTCTCTTGCTGACGTTTGACATCCAAAAACACCCTCCCATGTAACCCCCTTAACTTGTCACTGGCTGAGTTAAGCGCTAGAACTTTATTTTTTAATGAAATTATTATTCTGTCAACAATAAATAGTCACCACTTGTGTCTGTGAGCTAGCGTGTAAGCTAAACAGTCACATAGGTCGGTTTTTGATTAAACCAGCTTACGGATGACTAGAATGACATTTAATTTTGACAAATAACGCATCTTCAATAAATTGCGCACTTACAAGACCAATCGTGATAGAATCAGCTGGTTCACCCTAATTCCAATTAGCAATTTTAGAATACGCCTGTCGACTAATTTATAAGATTTTGAATAAAAGTTAACGCTTTTTATTATCAAAAATTGACAGATGTTTTTTACTTCAATAATTTTAGTATTCTGAAATTGTTAATTGGCATATATTATTTGAGTGAGCCTGCAGATGTGTATGACAACACTACTAGTGAGATGGCACTATACAAAATAGCGCTGACAGCACCATTCGAACCTAGAACAAAGTAGCAAGCGGAACATACACTATTTGTTATTCTATCATTATCTATATTACCTATTATTCAGTCACATTCATTTATACAAGCACTTGCAAATATTCGCGTTGAACACTTTACATAAAATATTTACTTACTTGTTAACAAAGAGCTCGTAAGTAAACGACGAATGTGTTTGCCCAACCAGACACTAAGGTGCGTAGAACAAAGCCCAAAATTCGATTGAAATTTAAGCAGAGATAGCGGTTGTTGNAGTTGTTGATAGGTTTAAATATTTGGATACAGGACAGATCCATGGTCCAGACTTCATATTGTTTGAGGCGTTGTTATTTTGGTTCACGTTGATCACCTGGGTGATCTAATCCAGGTGATCAAAGTGGAATATTAGACCGTTTTATAACCCGGACCTAAGACGCAGACGTATCTATTTTATTTTTGTGAACGACAGAATATCGCTCTTAGTTTTGTAGGTCACCTGACTTTGAGGTACAATAAAATTTTAAGGTTTGATTTAATAAAATTTGAAAGTTTTGCAAATATTATGCTACTATGGTGTCGCATGGAGTTATTCTGATCAAAAAATCAAAATCAAAATCTGATACCAATAATTTGTTACAATATGCGCGCTGCGTTTAAGAGTAAAAACAAAGGATATTAATTTGTAACATGAGCTTTTCACATACTCCTTTTCACAATATGATAAAGATAGTGTCTAGTTAGTGCTGGTTGGTTTAACAATAAAAATACTAATCAAGTATAATAAATTAGGCCGAAATCAAAATCACAGTAAACTCAACTGAATATGGCAATCATTGTAGCTGCTATTAATCTATTAATAAGTTAACATCCTTATTTTGATACCTAACTGTGATAACGCATCCACCCTAATTCCATTAGTACGTACCTTCACTTGAGTCCCCATATTCCACCGTTTATAGTCTTAACGTAACAAGAAAACTCGACTAAATGGTAAAAAATGTCTACATCTTTTAATTTTCGACACCTACATTCTCATAAGGCTTCTTCGTAATAAACTCCTACGTTGATCTGGAACAAGGAGTTGTGATTAGACGTTGATTTTGAATTTTAATATAACTGAGGAAAGGGATTGTAAATATTGAGGCAGATGTGGAAATGAAAGAATTTATCGTCAGAAACGATGGCCCAAATAAGCGTTGATATATTGTTTTTAGTGGATATTGTTTCATCAATCAAGCATGAAAAATTACCATCTTAGGCCTACTGATCTAGATGAGGAAACTGAAGGTTTACTNGGTTGTTGATTGGTTTCAATATTTGGATACAGGACAGATCCATGTTCCAGATTAAGCGTTGTTATTTTGGCCCACTTTGATCACCTGTGTGATCTAATCCAGATGATCATAGTGGACTCCATGCGACACTTTGGCATCCTTTGATGGATAAGAAGTTCACTTTGATCACCTAGGTGATCTTAACTATGGGTGATCATGCTCAAAGGACACCAAAGTCTCTCCTGGAGTCCACTTTGTTCACCTGGGTGATTTAATCCAGGTGATCAAAGTGGAATAGACCATAATAGTAATAGTGGCACAGACCTAAGACACTGACGTATCTATTCTATTTTTGTAAACGATAGAATCACCGCTCTTAGTTTTATAGGTCACCTGAGTTTGAGATACAATTTAACGTTTTATTTATTTAGGTATTAGGTATCTGAAAGCTTTGCAAAGGTAGTCCATGTTGCAATAATGGATAACCTAAACAAAATATGGTATTATGATGCTACACACGTATTTCTTAGCAATAAATTGTTAGGGGAGACTGGCCCAAAGCGGGCACTCCGCCTAAAGCGGGCACCCCCCTCTAAACTTACACTCATTTGCTCGACTTGTTGTCTTGTCTTGTTAACGTTATCCCCCCGCCCCGCCGCTCCCGCGGAAGTCGTGTACGCCACCTCCGAGTGACAACACCACGCGTGGACAGCGATAAACGAAATTCGTCAATTTTATTTGAAAAAACAAAGGTATGTTCGTTGTGTTTTGGATTAAACTGAGTGACGTACGTTATTATCAATGTATGCGTAATGTGTTGCACCTACTTAACCGTGTTTTAAGGATATTTCCTTGAAAATTATTAAAAAGGAATTATAGTTTATGTTTTATGAAACGTGGTATGGCGCAAAAGGCAAAGTGAGCAGGGCAAAATGAGCATGCTCACTTTACCCTCTTCATAGCCATATAAACTAACTTGCTTTTATTGTTAGTCCTTTATATTTATCGTGTAGGTATAGTCTGTTTTTATTTGCTAGTCGAACAATGTAAATAATCTTTTTATAACGTTTAAAGTAATATCAGTGAAAAAAATGAATAAATTAAATGATTTGAAAAGATATCGGCGTTCAACGATGACTTACCTACATAATAGGCTGTGAGCTTTGTGTTTGTCTTATTTTAAAACGAATTATTTCGTTAAAAAGGAATATTAAGATTGTTTACAATATTGGACAAGCAAAAAAAACAGGCTTTAGTGTCGACATGAATCTCTTATTATTTGACTTTTTAGATGGTAAATAAATATAAAAGAAAATCACAACAAGGTTCTTGAAGTGAAGCTGTAATACTTCAGCTCAAAAGCTTCAAAATACTAGAAGATAATGATTCAAGACTGCATTATTCAAAGAGAGTTCCTTCTGATTAGTTTTATGTTTTAATTTTTATGTTGTTTGATGAATTTTTATGTCTAGAATCTATTTTTTCGCAATACAGAAAATATGATTCTCATTCTGTGTTTTAATAGAGACATTCCTTATTATTCAAAGGTCAAAATTATATAGTAAAAATAAATAAAAACTATTGCCCTCTGCATGCCCGTTTTGCCCGTGTGCTGGTGCTCGCTTTAGGCCACCCCCTCGGGCAAAGTGAGCAAGTGATAGTGTTTCGTATTTCAGTGCCTACTTTTTATATATTAGACAAATGAATGATTTGAAAACGCCATGTCAAATTACAATAAATGTAGTAACTGATCACGATAAAAACTTATTCCGGTTTGCTTATTCTGTGTGTTTTTTTCCTACTTTACCTTAAGGTGCCCGCTTTGGGCCAGTCTCCCCTACATGCGCACTCCATTTAAGAGTACAGAGGATATTAATCTGTATCATGAGCTTCAACTGTAACTGCTAGCTATTTTCACAATATAACATAGTGTCTTGTTTTAGTGCTGGTTGGTTTTACAATAAAAATACTAATCAAGTATAATAAATTAGGCCGAAATCAAAATCACAGTAAACTCAACTGAACATGGCAATCATTGTAGCTGCTATTAATCTATTAATAAGTTAACATCCTTATTTTGATACCTAACTGTGATAACGCATCCACCCTAATTCCATTAGTACGTACCTTCACTTGAGTCCCCATATTCCACCGTTTATAGTCTTAACGTAACAAGAAAACTCGACTAAATGGTAAAAAATGTCTACATCTTTTAATTTTCGACACCTACATTCTCATAAGGCTTCTTCGTAATAAACTCCTACGTTGATCTGGAACAAGGAAGGGTTGATTAGACGTTGATTTTGAATTTTAATATAGCTGAGGAAAGGAGATGTATATATTGAGGCAGATGTGGAAATGAAAGAATTTATCATCAGAAACGATGGCCCAAATAAGTATGCGTTGATATATTATGTTTTTAGTGGATATTGTTTCATCAATCAAGCATGAAAAATTATCATCTTAGGCCTACTGATCTAGATGAGGAAACTAAAGGTTTACTTATTGCTACGTGATGTACCCAGAGCATCAAGTCAAAGACAAAATATGTACCTAGTTGCGGTTACATCGACGTGCATTCTGCAACTTTTGTGTAGGCAGTAGGCTTAGGATGCGCGCCGCGATAAGATTTTATCGTGCCATTTTATCGATTCTACGCGATAAGCCCATGCATCGATAATATTTTATCACGACGGGCATCCTAGCCCGGCTGGTCCAGTTTTCCCAAGGGAAAGAAAAATCATTGGACTAAAGCCCGGTCTGTGAGCACGTAGAATTTTGTCCAATGACCCTAAGCTACCCATCCTTATCGCTCGCGCGTAATTATATTCCTGTCGCACTCGCACACTCACTGCGGGCGCCCGTCGCACAGTTGCGACAGCAATATAATTACGCGCGAGCGATAAGGATGGGTAGCTTAGGGTCATTGGACAAAATTCTACGTGCTCACAGACCAGACTATGCCCGTTNCAATAAAACATACATAGGGTGAACATAGAACTAAAATACTTACACATTATCAGTGCTTATGCTAAACGACGTGTATCGGGCATCCGTCTTTAGCCCTCGCGCTGTCCATCGGTGGCGGTATCACCACGTACGTGTCCCGACTCGTCGACGGCTCGTCGTCATCGAAGAGAGGAGGCGGTGGGATGACGTCACTGTCTACCTCCTCTGCCGTCGCCTCCTGCCGCTTGCGACCCGGCATATAGTTCATCACACACGTCACCGCGATCAAGAACAGGAAGAATATGAACACCACGTCGAACATGATTAGGAAGTTTAACATTACTAGTTGCATCACGTCAGATCCGTCACATGCTGCGCTGGGGTGAACCGGGCACAGCGGTGCGATTGTGACATGTTATGGGGTCATCGCGCTGGGTTTGGAGTCTGGAACAAAGGGGGTGAGTTAGTAAGAAAAAATAATATAATCAAATCGATACTTATAGGAAGTCGCGATTATTTGGAATATCGAATGCTATTTGATCCCAAATTATGCATTTGAGATCGTGGGTGGGGAATATCCGATAATTTTGACTCATAATAAAATTAGACGAAGTACCTAATTAATCATCATCGCAAGGTTTTCACTCATTGGAAGCTTTTGCTTATTCTTTCATATTATTGATCTTTTAAATGATTTAAATTTAAGCATATTACGTATGTGTTGCATATTTTTCGTAATTAATAAGTGCTCAAGAATTTCAAAATATTAACGTGTAATATTGCAACACTTGTTGAAAATGGCAACATCGTCAGTTGCAGTTGTCGTCGTGTCGCGCACGTTTCGAATCGTGCGAGTCGCGGTTTTATCGGTTTATCGTTGTAACAATTATCGTGAAAGCATATTAGCTTCGAACTGGTGTTATTTAATGAGTTAATTTTATATTTAGTGAAAATTGATTGAGTCGATGGTGAAAAGTTTGCGTGGTCAGAACAGCAGGGATTGTAGGAGCTCAGCACTGGGAAGCTGCTTGAACCGAATGGAGGAGAAGTTGAGTGGAGTCTTCGGAAACCAGGTCAGTAATATAATAGTTTATCTATGAAATCACTATTACATCGGAATTCACCATTCGTACGATTACAGTTCCACTTTAGGCAAGAATTATACCTTCGTAGGAAAACTAATTCAATAGAGTTGAAGACAGCGAGATAATATTCACTTTAACACATTAGGATGCTAGATTTTTTCGATAAGAGACAAAAATAGAGTTCCAGCTTTTGAAAAATCGTAACAACAGAAGCCCTACACTCAGCTTAAAATATGGTCTACCCACTATTTATCTCCGTTACATTTTTCAACAAGCATTTAAAAAATCACATTTTACGGGAACAAAACTCTTTAAAAACGTGTTCAGCCAGCAATTACTGATGAATAATTGGCATCCATATATTTTGCCGCCGCTTCATTCGCAAACATGCAAATAAATAGGTTTCCAACTCATTCTTTTTGTTCGAAAATACCCATAGTACTATGGAAATTGATACAGTAGGATCGTAGGAAACGCATATATTGTAAGGTGAATTGACAGTAAAAACGCAACTTGTAAAAAAAGAAGAATTTAATATCTCAAACCTATTTTAATCGGCTTTCAAGCTATCTGTAATGTATTAACCTGAATTAGGAGAAACCACGCAACTGGCGGAATCGAGATTTGAGGAACACTAGTCAATGACATAAAAACATCTTAGACACTAGTACGATACTTAGTTGTCCGCTTTTGTATTGTGGTAAAACCACATTTTTTTATACCTTCTCCTTAAATAGCTTTCCGCCCACGGCTTCGCTCGCGTGGAATTTTGTCTGTCACAGAAAAACTTTATCGCGCGCGTCCTTGTTTCAAAAACCGGGATAAAAACTATCCCATGTTCTTTCCCGGGACTCAAACTATCTCCATGCCAAATGTCATCAAAATGGGTTCAGTGGTTTAAGCGTGAAAGCAAGACAGAGAGACAGACAGACAGTTACTTTCGCATTTATAATATCAGTATAGATTGGAGGTGTTTGTTATCAGGGATATTTTTAATTTATCTACGACTTAAAACCTTTAAAAAATTTACGTTCAAGTTCCTGCTAGAAACAATACAATAAAATAAATAGGGCTGCTATACTTTTCTGTCTTACCCAGCTATTCGTATCGTTCGCGATAGGGTTCGCCCTTCGACAGTATCTTTTTCTTATTGAACGCCTCTTATTGGAGTATCGTATTTTGGTATTTGTAAGTGAATTCTATACTATTTATAAATGTTTTCTGGATATTTATTGCTTCTCTCAGACGGATCTAAGATAAATTTTGATTATTTGTGCTTATTCGAGATAAACAACTGATAAGTCCTAGCTGTTAGTAAGAAAACTCGTGAATAGATATACAGTTTAGTTTGCTACTTAAACAAAGTGTAGGAATAATAAATAGTCCCCTTTCTTTCTTTCTTTCTTATACAGGGTAGCCTTAGTTTAGGCTCCAGATCACACACTCGGAGCAGGAAATTGTTTATTTTCATTACTATGATAATGTACCTGAAAAGAGTCTCTAATAAATAAAAAAATTACATATTATTTTTATTATTCTTCAAAAATGTTTTCTTAGTCCAAATAGATTTGGGATCAGCAAACGGGATTTCAATCGATAAAACAAGGAACCATCTCGTACAGCATTCAATAGCATGAAAAACAAAACAGAGATAAACAGATTGCGCAGTACGTTGACCTCTGTTGACGTCATGGGTCATGGATTGAAAAATGATTAAAAAAATAATTTTAGTTTGGTTATGCCGTCGATAAATGCCTCGATTTGGATGACGTCACATCAAACTAAAAATTTTGGCAACTTATTCAGTTGAAATACGTTTTGCAACTAAATTGTAGTCTGTGTGCCTACCGTGAGTTTACGTTAGGTGAGCTCGCTAGCGAATACGTCAAAAAATTCTATGAAGATTTTATTTCTTGAAAGTAGCCGCTAGGGGCGCTGCACAATATGTCATACATTTAAATGACATTTTTTTACGCAGTCGCTAGCGAGCACACCTAACGTAAACTCATGGTAGGCACACTGATCGCTAGTTGATAAATTGTGAATCGACCGTAACTCGTAGTATTACGAGTATATCAACAATGGTTTACTGGATAAACTTTCCAGTACTATTTGTACGAGTCCTAAACTTCCCTCTATATTTAAACATACCCTCGCTAACATAACATGCTGATTAATTTCCAAAGTTCTGAGGCGAGGTATTTGTTTGAACCCCGTGTCTTGATGGAACTAAATTGATTCGACCCCACATAGTTCGAATATGCTGGTAATACGTTTGGGAAACTGATTTAACATGTTTGAACTTTATAATTATTATTTGTGAGGTGTAAAACAGAATGCCAGCTTGTAAAAGCTCCACGTAAAGCAAAAATGTAATATCTTTTGTAACAAGGTTCATATCAAATATCTGTAGATTTAAGGCTGGGGTGCTCCACCAAATTTTGACGGTAACTATAACGAGAAACCGGTGCTTTTTGTATGGAGTTTGACAGATTTTTGACGTTTGTCAAAATTAAAGTAAGATGGTGCAACCCAGCCTAAAAGTAGTATTTTTTAAAGTGGTAATAACAGCAACTAAAATGCTTAACAAAATACTAGTTAAAAGTTTGCATACACGCAAATATCATGTAACTTGAAATATTATGACATTTAAGTTATAAGTATGAACAATTTTTATTTATTTATCTTGAAAATAAATGTTGGAAATATATTTAAGTCGAAAGACTATTTTTTCAACGTCAAGAATAAACCATCTGTTTTACGTTGCTCTCCTAACCACAAGGAACATTTTTACAAAATACTGATTTGAAACGCGTGTATTTCTATAAATAATAACCCCTTACTAATAAAAAGTTACACACTCATTGAACAGTAGTTTAAATTGTTGTTTCCATACTAAACGTCACTTTAAACCAGTTTTACAACGCGCAAGTAACTTTGATTAAGGCGGTTATAAGCGTTTTGATTCGATTCAATTCGCTCCGTATCTTTTCCAAAATCGAAATAAAAAATATTCTATGTTTTTTTCTCTTATCTAATTTGATTCAATAGCTAAAGCTTGAAAAGATAACACATGGATATGCTTTCGTATTATATTAGGAAGTAAATTTTGAACATTCTAAACTTTCATCAAATCTACCCGTAGATTTTTCGGTAAGAAGTAAACAAATCATTCATTTTATTTCTATGTTACCTACCTATCCGCGTATCGCGTTCAAATCAGTTGAAATTAATTCAATTAAATCTATTCATTATCTTTGCAAACTTTAGTGTTACAAGTGTAGATAGGGTCTAGTGTTTCTAGGGTCTAGTGTAGTACAAAAATCGGCTATTTATTGAGCGGATAACTCTGTAACACAGTACCCTCTGGCAGCGGTAACAGAGGTTAATGTTACTCGCAACCGCGTAATCGAGGGCAATATAACCTCTAAAGACCACCCGGTGTCCTGGGAGATATTAGAGATGTGTCACCACGGGTGTCACACTTTTGAGCACTTCACTACTGAAGCATCCGACCTAGCGACTACATTTGAGAATTTTATAAATTGTTAGGTCAGTGACTTTAGTGTGCGGAGAACTCAAGTGATATCTAATACCTACTCGACTGATAAAAATGTAATGCTGGACTTCCTATAGTATTTTAAAGCTTGAGATTAGGAAAACATATTTTTTCCAAAGTAAGTAGCTATATCGTCTATTTTGAACTTAAGTAATACTTATCTCTTAGAACATTGTTAAGAAAATTCAATCTGCCCCATTGTATTGATACGGTATGTGTGTATGATACTTATATACTTATAACTGTCCATTACAGATGTCGGCGAATAATAATAGGGTTTCTTTAGAACAAAAAGTTTAACCTTTCTTTAAGTAAAACATATTGATTTAAAGTGCCACTCGAACCTCATATAAAGCAAGATTGGCTTTAAGCTCTCGAAGCATTTTAAATACTTAAGATTTTACAAGAGCGGCAATTCCCTCAAGCGGTCAACATAGAAGCTAAGTATTTGCTCTGAGCATAATGAACGCTGAGAAAGGTTTGAGGCAAAATTCAGCGGCATTTTGCCGCCAAAAGGCGGATATTAGTGCAGCGTTCCGCCGCTACACTCCGACTTGGGTCTGTAAACGACTTTTTTGACGCTTTAAAAATAATGAGATCTTCAGAGCGATGTTGCTTTGCACAATTTAATCCAAAATATTTATTATGAGAATATTTAACAGGTAAGATATCTCTTTGAAAAGGTTTTCATGAGATCAAAATTAAAGAGCTTTTTTAATTATTTTTATCTTTACTTGTATAATTTAGGGAAATATTAGTAGAAAATGCAATTAAGCTAATATTATTGTGTTAGGAGGTTT